TTTTAATTTGGGAAAATGCCCATTTCAGTATTTTCTCAGCTGCACATGTGACTTTCTTGGCAAATAATGTGGTAAGCATTCAGAATAGGCATATTTCTAAAAATTCTGCATTCCATAAGCAAATATAAGTAACATATACAGTGTCTATATATTTATGGTGACACTAAGGATGAGAATCTGTCCCTAAATATTAAACCACTTTTAAAGATATTTTCCATGTTCATTGCTTCATATGGTTTTGGAGCACACTTTTATAACACAAAACCCATGATATTATCATGTGATTGTAAGACAAGAAAATTCCAACAGAAATGAATTATTGTGCTGTTTACTTAAAGGATGAGTGAATCTGAAACTTGTTGGTCACTAATGTAAATAACATTTTACAAGTTTTCTCTTAATGGATGCTAAATTTTCAAAATTTACAAATAAAATCCAAATGTTAGCAGAAAAGTACTTATGGCCAAATTTTGTCTCTCTCTTGAGAGAGAGAAGTCTATCTGTGGACTAGTAATGTTATTTTGTTAGACATCACAACTGAATGTTTAAGTTCAAGTATACAACCTTAATAGATACAAACATAATAGGTAAAACTTTCTAAAATAATCATATTAGTACACAAAAATAGGAAACTATTTATGGAAAGAACAGGGATGTTGCAATATGCTTTATTCCAGTCAATTAGTCCTCTGAACAGAAGTAATGCCATTTTAATTATTATTTAATGACCTGGATCACGTTCTTATACCTTATCTTATCTATGTCTTTCACTTCTGCTTTGAAGAACCACTTCTTTACTCTTTTTTTTGTGAATCCTGTTAGGGGAAGGAGTCAGGGTCACAAAGGTTGGAAGTGGTTGTCATAAAAAGCATTCAAGGGCCAAATAAGATAAAAAAATAACAGAACCAAGTCATCACAGCACATTTAGTACGGCACTAAACCTAATCCCAAAAGGCCTACTGGGCCTATGATACAAGGTGGCCAGTACAAATTACTTGAGTTCCTTGTCATTTATCCGTTAAAGAAAGGTTCCTTACCTTTCTTTAAAAAATCTTTGGAGTCTGTCTACAGAAAAGCACGGCAAAAAAGGAAACTGTGATTATTTCCCACTACAACTACTATTTAACGAGCTCTTCATTTACAACAGTTTTTGGGGTCTTCTCTGTTTGTTAATACTAACCAAGTCTACTGCCCAGGTGAGTGTTTTCAACTGAATGAAAGTAAAGTTTCACCACATTTCTGCAGATTGGAGTCATGACAGTTCAGATGCTAGAAAAAGGACAATGGCTAACAGATCTGCGTGCACAACTTGGACAGAAGTAATGTGGCTGAGAAACTTCTTATACATTTCCAGTTTGTACAGATGACTGTGATAACCTCTTATTATGCCATATGGAGGCCCTGACCAACAGCCAGGGGCCTTAAATTACATTGAAATTGATTCCTACACTGCAGCTTTCAGCTGTAAATTATGTTGAAAGACTATGGGCTTAAAATGAAAATGAACAGAAATATATAAAAGCAAATGAGCTCTAATAAGTCCTTATTAATCTGAGGTAATGATGTGCATCGTCACTGAAGCCCTATGCCAGTCATTACCGGCTATCAACTACACTGCCTTTTTTATATTAATATAGACACCAGGTTGTGTACAGAATTCTCCCTTTCAATCCACACATGTTACATAACAATATTAAATTACAGTACATAATTGGTTAAACATTACTCTTTAAAATTTCTTGAATCTTGTAGCTGATCTTAAATACTGCATGTACTCTATTAAAGACAAGCTCACCCAAGAGACATAAACTGACTAAAGCCAGGAAATTCTAAATGAAGGCTCAAGCTGACATTTTGTCCCTAACATATATAACCATGTTTCCTCATAGCTACTAAGAGTGCATGTCCTAATGGTGTTTCCTTCTTTATTTGTACAAATAATATTATTGCAGCAGTCAGGGCCTTTATTTAAGAAAGTAGGATACATAAACTACTTTGAAACTTGGCCTGTGGTGGAAAGACATAGGTACAGAGTCTCTCCTTCTTGTGCCCCTTTTTTAACTATTTTTGGATCCGATGAAAAGAAAAGAAAGTCAAGAAAAGATAAGCATTTAAGTAAATTCCCAAACTACTTCCAATTTGTGATTTAATAAATTCAGCCAGCTTGCAATGGTGTTACTTTAACCACACCTCTTGAACTGCTATTGTTAAAATAAATCTGAAAACAATGAAGCCATACTAAACAAAAACACAAAATAAAAACTCAACAGTCATAAAGGAAGAGAAAAAAACCCTGCAAAGAATATATAGCCTGGTACCCCAAAGACAGCAGAAAAAGAATTCTTATCATCCATCATGTTGAAAATTAAACTGTTAAACAAACATCACTGCCTTTTCACAGTCAATTATATTTTCTGTGTATGTTTCCTAAGAGTACACATTTCTGTATCTGGCTCAGCGATACGCTAACAACAGAACATCAGAGAGGTAGACTCTGGACAGATATGATATCAAAATTACTGTAACTCAAGAAATACATCATTAGTCCCCAGAAGCAGGATTCATTGACAATAAGTCATGAAAAGTGATTAGCCACTGTTTAATAACAGGAACTAATAAAGAAAAATAAACAAAACTAGGTTTCATCACATTTTGCTCTACCACCAGATGCCTGCACAACTTTGGGCAAATCACAATCTTAGGGCTTGATTTTGTCCACCTGTTAAATGGTATAGTCTTAGCTGTACCATATGGCTAGATTGGTAGAAGAACCCTCTGTTAGTCTGCAGACAGGTATAAGCCAATGAAGATCAAACGAAACTTCAAGTTAAAGTTCAAAAGCCTTTATCCATAGCCGTTTTCAGCAACAAAATTATGCTAGAACTTTGACACAAAGTCGTAACATGTTACAGCAGGTGATTGATCGCAGGGGCTTCCCTAAGAGAATTTTTGAGTAATTGATGTATTCAGAACAAGATGAAACATCATCTGCATTGATGAGTCCTGAGCAGACCTGCTAACCCACAAAGTGGAGTTAAAGCGCAGGGCATTCGTTGCTGCTATGTGTGGCTTGAACATGAGCTAGATGAAGTCTGGAAGAAGCATGTCTGTATTTCTGTGGGGCTCTGCTTGCAAGTAAATTCCCTCAAGACCGTGGTAGGAAGCTCACTGTGCTTAGACTTCATAGCTTCAAATTCTACCAGCATGGGATCTCTGTACCGTATTGCACTTACCAATGGTGTACCCACAAAACAGTTGTTTAAAGCCATCACAGGTCTTTAAGTAATCTGAGAGGTTACTTACATACAGTTAGCACCTTATAGCCAATTCAAAGTCTGAGATGCTTTTAAAGCATGGGAGATGATCAATTGTGTTAGTCTTCTTTTTTTTCTGTAATATAAAGTTACATAATTTGGTCCTTTGTTTGAAGGTTCATTCAATTATCTAAACAAAAATTCTCCTGGCACTGTAAATCCCTTTGCACGTGTTTCTTCAACCTGTGCTTTAAGTCTCAAGAGATTCAGTTAAAACTAGGAAAATGGAAAAAGACTCTCTTTCTCAATAGGAAAAAATTCCTCCTGGTAATGAGATTATTATGGCTCAGAGATTGCCATCATCACACATATTGGCTGCTCCCCCACTGCAAGTATCCCAGTCAAACCACAGTGCCACTAACACAATAATACACCTCTCAAAATGCCTTGGGCTGGGAACACATTGCTCGTGCATTTCAGGTAATGTAAATAAAGCATTTCCATTGGTTTGTAAAACATCAGCTCAAACTTGGCTGATCCCTTTTCAGATTCAGTCTTAAACTTTTTTTGAAAGACAGCAACAAGCAATTCTGCAAACCTGAAAAGGCATTTTTGGCAAACAGAGTTTACTAGCAAAATGAGTCACATTATATTTGACTGTTGTTTAGAAACTGTTGTTTAGAAGTGTGATTTGAAAATTCAAGATGCTTTTTTTCAACCTCCAATTTTTCATTTTGAAATTTAGCTATGTATCATTTAAGAGGGACAAAAACCAGCCAAAAATAAAAAGCTTTAGTCTGAATCACTGAGGGTTTGATAATCCCCACCACCACCCCAAAAAAACTTTCCCATCCAGCCAAGAAATCAAAAATATCAAGTATTCACTAGTAGTTGGCTTACTTCTCTATCCTACTCCCATTCTCAGCAATTTGAGATGACAGTATGACCAGTATGACAAAGGCATTTGAAAAAGAACTGAGAAAGAAATGCAAAACCCCTTATCTGTTGGGATCAAGAAAATGCTCTGAAGTATTTAAAGAAATTAATTACCCGTTGCTTGGATATTTTAAACTAAAATGATCATGACAACAATTAATGTGCAAGAAAAATCAAACCTACAGTGGAAAGGATTTGGAAAACAGACCCAGAGTTCTTGATCGCATTTGACTTTTATGATGCTCTGCTGCCTCACATAGCAGAACTCCAGTGAATGCTCACAAGTATTTACTAGGATATGCAGATTTCTTGCTCACTCTTTCTTTCACTCAGTTCCTTCTATCACACTACCCAGGCCAATTCATCTCTGAATTTTTTGGATATGTTTTGGTTTTTTCTCCTTATTGAACAAAGGCATGATAATATAAGTATGCATCCCTTCCTGATATTTATTCCCTTTCATCCATTTCAACAAGATCCAACAAAATAACCCTTTATATTTGCTCTAAATCTGGAAAAACGGTTGAACAGATGCTTGTTGCTTTTGGCTGAAGACATCATTAGCTGCTAGCTGCCTTTTTTC